ATGGTGCAGGACTGAAGCATGGGCTCAGGCACAGCGGTGGTTGTGGCGATGGTGCAGGACTGAAGCATGGGCTCAGGCACAGTGGTGGTTGTGGGGATGGTGCAGGACTGAGGAGTCTTTTATTATGTTACACACTGAGTTGTTATGAGGGGAGCTTAGATGAGGGCAAATAAAAAAAGCATATACTTATTTGAAGCAGCTTACTCTTTTTTTTCTTCCCAAGTTACTAGAAACTTTAAAGCTCTGGGTAGGCAGGGACTCTCTTAAGGACAGCTACAATGGAATAGATTCTCATGTGTAGAGAACTCATGGGTGTCAGCAGAACCGTGACTTTGAATGACTGATTTTTGGAAGTAGATGACCTTCTTCTGTCATGTGTTTAGACGAACTTGAGCCTGGACCTTTTCAGTTACCAGCCAAGTATGCTAACAGTTTGTACCATCCAGGAAGAGCCTGTTTTAATTGTCAGGTGCTGACCGGTAGATATGGAATAAGCACCTGTGGCCTGGTGACAAGAAGCTACATTGTAATCACAAAGGCATATGGTTAGAGTCCACCAGCTGCTCCATGGGAGAAGGATGGGCAATATCCTCCTATGCAATTAATTCCTTCTGAAAACCTGCTGGAGAGTCAGCCATGGTCAGTTCTGATTCAATGGTACACAACAACAACAACAATGTAGTGTAACAGAATGGAAAATTACCTGATGCTGTGTCATCTTCACAACCATTGTTATAGTTCAACCAATTACTGCAGTCAATCAAAGGAGCAAATCCCCCATCAACAACATCCACATTACCAAACAGTTATAAGATCAAGCATAGCCTCACATAATCCTGCACCTACTGCTATTAATAATGGGGCTCAAAATTCATTGTCAATGGCTCACAGAGTTAACTATACTCCCAGATGTAGAGTTTATTAAGGAAACAGGTTAGAAAGTGGGTAAGGGAAAAGCTATCATAAAGTGAAAGTCCAAGTTTTAGGGAAAAGCTGTCCTAATCTAGGTTAACAGGAAGATGCATTACTCAACAGCAAGACACATTACTCAATTAGTTCAGATGGCTTCTCAATCAGCAAGTGGAAGACAAAGTTGAGCACAGCAACACAAAGGCAAGAAGCCTCTGCTTTCCTCAACTTCCCAGCAAGCTTTCTTTGTCTCATAGCAATTACAAGTCAGCTTCTCTTTCAGTCATCCAGAAGCAAGACCTTTGACTCTGGCTCTGTCTCCAGGGCTCCATCAGCCTCCACTTTTCCTGCAGTCTCTCCCCAGTCTGATTAGCTCTTTCTTTTATGTTGGTCACACAGCTGTTGATGATGTTGTAGATGCTGATCAATGGGTGATTCATCTATAGTTGAGGTAGTTGGGGATCATGCCCTCAATAGAGCTAAGCAATGGATGTAAAAGTAATTTTGGGTGAACTCTGGTGGCTTAGTGGCAAGAAGCTGCACTACAATCCCAGAGGCGAGTGGTTCAAATCCACCAGCTGCTCTGCTGGAGAAGGCAGGACAATCTCCTCCTGCACCAGTGAGATCCAATTTGACGGTACACACACACACACACACACACACATATATATACACAAAGTCATTTTGAAATGTTCTAACATCACACAGCCACTGTGTCAATCCATATCATTGAGGACCCCCCTCTTTTGCATTGAGCCCATAACTAAAAGTTCTTCTATTTTTCTACAGCAATTCCATTCTCTTTATAAATTCTTAAGGAGCAACAATAGTAACCTCTTCTTTGAACAGTGCATCAGTGGGAGATTATTATTAGAATACTTCGCTTAACCTAATAAGTTTTGTCATTATATTTCCCATCAAAGTTACTCATCAAAGATAGCTGACCAGAAACATCTAGACAAAAATACCTGTTTCCATATTAAAAGTATTATACTTGTAGCAATTTTGACAATGCCTAACTCCTACATTCAATTCAGAAAAGGGAGAGTAAGCAAGGAAAGATGATGTAAATCTCTAGGAATTACCTTGCATGGAAGATAGCACCCATGCCACACCATTAAGATACATAGCTGTGGAGAGGAGTAGATCATCAAGTGTCATGTTCGTACTGTCTCAAGATCATGGTCATAAGAGGAAGAGTCTGTTCAACCTATTGTTATCCTTATTCTTAAGGTCCTCAGGTGAAGTACAACACGTAGCAATCTTGTGAATAACAGAGCTGATCCATTTCCTGTCCTGTACAAGCCTCATTTCTCACACACTTGAACCCATTGCTGTAGTCACTGGGTCAATCCTTCTCATTAGGGGTCTTTCCCTCTTTCACTCACCCTCCGCTTTTCCAAGCATGATGTCCCTTTTCAAGGAATAGCCTTTCCAAGCAACATGCCCAAAATATGTCACATGAAGCTCCACCATTCTTGTATCCAAGGACCACTATAGCTTTACATTTTCTTAAATTTTTTTGTATTATTATTAATGTCAATGAAAGTTTACAGAGACTTTGGATTCCCATTCATTCATTGTTGCACTTTTCTCCCTGCCCACTCCTCCCTCCCAGTTCACTCTTCTCTTTGTAAAGTAAAATAAAAATTCTTGCATTGTTAAACAATCCTTGTCCCCAAGTCCACTCCACTATGCAGCCTTTGTTCTGGACTCCTGTCATGACAATAATACTTAATCATATACCCCTTTCAAATAGTTCTTTCCTTCATCTGTTTCAGTGCAGTATATGTAATTGATCCCACCTTTCTCAGTCTCCCCATACCCCAATGTCAGTCCCGTTTTACAACAGTGGCACTATGCAGCATTTGTCCTTTTTTGACTGAGATAGTTCACTCAGCATAATGTCCTCAAGAGTCACCCATTTTGTATAATATTTCATGAGTTATTTGTTTCCCAATGCAGCGTAGTATTCCATTGTGTGAATATTTCACAGCTTCTCTATCCATTCGTTTGTTGATGGCACTTAGATTGTTTAAAACTCTTTGACATTGTGAACAAAGCAGCCATAAACTTGGTGTGCATATATTTGCTTGGATGTCAGTCATGCTCTCTTTGGGGTATATTCCCAGTAGTGGAATTGCTGGGTCAAATGGTATTTCTATTGCAACTTTTTGAGAAAGTGTCATCCTGCCTTCCATAGTGTTTGCACCACATAGTGGTGGCTTTACTTTTTAAAAGACATTTCTATTTGCTATTTTGGCAGTCAATGGCATATTCAATGCTCTTCCCCACACTACAACTCAGAGGCTTCAGTTCTTCTTCTGTCATCTTTGTCCATTGTCCAGCTCTCAGATGCATAGCAAGTGATTGAAAATACCATGGCCTCAATCAAGCACACCTTAGTCTTTAAGCTGATCTCATTGTTCCTCAGTACTTTCTAGAGGTCCCTGATGGCACACTTGCCCAATGCATTATGTCTCTTGGTCTCCTGACTACCGGTACTAAGGTTGTTGATTACAGATCCAAGCGAGACAAAACTATTGATAATTTCAATCTTTTCTCCATCTATCATGATGTTAATTATCAGTATAGTGGTTCAGATTTTTGTCTTCTTGATGTTGAGGTGCAATTCATATTGAAGATTATGGTCTTTGATCTTTTTTCAGCAAGTGTTTCAAGTCCTCCTCACTCTCAGCAAGGATGGTTGGGTCATCTGCATAATGCAGGTTGTTGACGAGTCTTCCTCTGATCTTGATTCCACGTTCTTTTTCATAGAGTCCAGCTTCTTAAATCATTTTCTCAGCATACAGAGTGAATAGATATAAAGAAAGGTTACAACTCTGTCACACACTTTTCCTGATTTTAATCCATGTAGTTAGTGTCCCCTTGCTCTATTCACACAACAGCTTCCTGGTCTAGGTATAGGTTTTGTACGAGCACAATTAAGTGTTCTGTGATTCTCATTCTGCTCAGTGTTAGCCATAGTTTGTTATGATACACACACTTTAATGCCTTTATATAGTCAATAAAACACAAATAGAGATTGTTCTGATATTCTCTGCTCTCAGTTTGGCTTTTGCCCAACTTGAAGTTCAGACAAAACCAAGTTCTAGAGATGTGCAGCTTGAGAGTTTCTTAGTATAGAAGAAATTGATAAATATGTGTTAAAGTAACTACTTAACTGGTGGCCTGTGGTAAGAAACTGTGCTGCAAACCCAAAGGCATGCAGTTTGAATCCACCAACTGCCTCACAAGTGAAAGATGGACAATCTCCACCCATGTGATTTACTGTCTCTGAAAATCACTAGAGGCTCAGCTATGGGTCAGTTCTGACTCAACAGTAAACAACAATGACATTACACTACAACAACATTATTCCTTTACTTCTGGTCCCT